GCCCCTGAGTTCAATCCCCAGAACCAAAAAAAAAAAAAAAAAAAAGGAAGAAAGAAAATTAAACAGTTAATTGGCAATTTTCTTAAAATTTTCTTCTCATTTTTTTTATTTCTTGCAAGATTAGCACAAATATCCAAATAGCAAAAGAATGCTAACAGGAACTAGGCAAAATTGCTATCATGCTTTGATTCTTTAATTTTTTTTGAACGAGGCTATGTGCAGTTATGATTTTAGTGTTTTTTTTGTTGTTGTTGTTGTTATTGTTTGTTTTGGAGGAGGGTTGTTTAACGGCTCTGGGGATGGAATCCAGGGCCCTGTACATGCTAGGCAAGGGCTCTACCACTGAGCTACACCCTCAGCCCTGTGGTTCTGATTTTAAATTGCATTATAAAAGTCATCCTTCCTGCTAGGAAAAGCGTTCGCAGTTCTTAAGATAGACTTGCATTTACCCACAATTCATAGTGTTGCACAAATAGCTGCCTGGCATCTGGGTATTACACTTCCCACACAGGCCATGGTACAAACTTTAACTGCTGTATTTCCATTTTCAATCTAACCAAAAATGTGGAATAACAGGTGGTCTCCCTGTTCAAGAAATATCTAGAATAAAGATACTCTGTGGGATCTATGAGGAGGAGGGAACTGTCCCTGGTTCCTGAAATCACAGTTTTAGAATTTAAAAGAGTGCTTATGTAGAGGACACAGTCTAAAAATATCTGTCAAAAAATGAAAATCCAAGCCAGACTTGGTGGCACATGCCTTAATCCCAGCTCCTGACAAGGCTGAAGCAGGAGGATCACAAGTTCAGGGCCAGTCTTAGCAACTTAGTGAGACCCTATCTCAAAACAAAAACCACCACCAACAACAAAAAAGAGTAGCTGGGGATGTAGTTCAGTGGTAGAGTGATTGTCTAGCATGCATGAGGCCCTGGGTTTAAACTCCAGTAACAGTGGGGAAAAAATAAATAAAGTAAATATAAAGAGGCACTATAATTCAAGCGCTAAAACAAACCTTTTTAAAAAAATGTTTTTAGTTATACATGAACACAGTATCTTTATTTTATTTATTTTTATGTGGTGCTAAGGATCGAACCCAGTGCCCCACATGTATGAGGCAAGTGCTCTGCCACTGAGCCATAACCCCAGCCCTAAAACAAATCTTTAGATTACATAAAATCTGAGATTTAGAACTACAGAGTAACAAATACAATCAAGGGTACTGGATTTTCACCCAGAAGTTTTAATGACAGCATGACTTTTGACCTTAATGATACCCAAAGTTCTAAAGTAGCAAAAATCTCACTTAATTCTTATAGGATAAAACGTCTGGGTTATTGGTTTGTGCAAGCAGGGCAAAATCCCTCCCAGCCTTTAAATTCCTTTCAGACGGGAGTCACAATGACAGAGCTCTCTGGAGGCACTTCTCCCAAGGCTTGAGTCCCATTTGGATGGCAGTCATTTTGTAAATGCAGAAATACAGCCTCAGGTCGAGTTTAAAGTCGTTTTGAATTTGCATTTTTTTTTTCTGGGAACGTTAAGATTTCGTGAAGAAGGGCCTGCACGCCTTCTGTATTCACTTTTACAATGTGGTTTTGCTTTTCTTTATCTCTAGGGCTGGGAATCCAGCGCAGACCACGCGCTTGCCAAGCAGGTGCTCCAGCACTGAGCTACCCCTGTACTCCTAAGGTTGTCTTCAGGGTCATACTACCCATCCAAAGTCCCCCTCCTAGAATAACACACACTTCCAGCTCTTGCTTCTAACGCAACAAACCGCAGAAACACACGGGCAGCAAGGGGAATTGCTAAAACTGCTCCAGTCTGCTACACCGCCACTCACAGGAGCACCAGGTAAACAGGGGACACGGGGCAGGCCCCGAGGGTCGCACGTCCCCACCTCCCGCCCGGGCCACCCCACCCCAAGCACAGGGGCGACTGGCTGCAAGGCCCACCTCTGCAGCTCCTCCTCCTGGATCCTCTCCTCGTCCCACACGAAGACGCCGGCGAGCGCCGCCATCAAAGCAGAGGCATGGCCCGGGCGGCCGCGCAGCCGGCGCCAGAGGCGTCCGAGCAGGACGCAGCGCGAGCTCTCGGAGTAGAGGCGGCCGTAGAGCTGCGCGATCTGCTGCGTGCGCCGCACACGCAGGCCCGTCACGAAGCGGCACTGATTGGCCAGCAAGCCCAGCAGGCCCCCGCCCCGCGCCCCCGCTAGCCAGGCGGCCAGGCCGGCCGGCGGCCTCCGCGGGAACATGCCGCCACCGCAGGCAGAGCAGCGGGCCCGGGAGGGCGCGGGCGGCCGTCAGCTAAGTCCCCTAACTGGCCGGCCCGGAGTCCGTCTCTCGTGGCCCTGGCCAGGCGCCGCCTCTCATGTCTCTGCAGCAACCGCTGAGAAGAGCCCCCTCGGGGGAGAGCGCCGCTGCAGGAGACGCGCGGGCTCGGCCCCCTCGCTCCCCCGAGTGTCCAGCCGGCGGCGGAATCGCGGTGCGGGGAACGCGGGAACTAGCGAGGCGGGCGACCCCGGCTCCGCAGGAAGAAAGGTCCCGGGAGCTCCGAATCCACCACACGCGCCGCCTGCCCGCAACCTACCCGCGCCTCCGCCTCTCGGGCTCTGATTGGCTACGATCCCGACGGTCTGGCGCTCATTGGCGGCGCCAAATGCCCGTCACCGCTGTCTCCGCCCCTACGCGCCGCACGCCGCGGCCGCCTGTTAGCAAGGTAGGTGGCACCGCGGCGTGAACCAGTCAAGGGCGCCTTGGAGAATGACCCTGGGACCCCGTAGCCGCCGCCATTGCTGGCCACCGCGCCCCCGCCCCGCAGTGGGGCGCGGCCAGGGGCCGTGGAAGGCCTGCTCCGTGGGCAGATCCTCGAAGAGGCGAGGAACCGTTGCTCAGTTCCCTAGAGTCCGGGATGGGAGCGTCCCAGGCTGAGGGGCGTGGGGAGGGGCGGCCCAGGAGCACCTGGCGAGGACCCTGCTCAGGCCTGGCGGCGCCTGCCCACCGAACCTTCCTCGGCCTCCCCGCTCGTTCTCCCGGATCCCTCC